GCCTCGGAGGGGGTGGGGCTTGCTCTGTCTGAGCCGAGAAGACATTTGAGAAGCAGATTGGAAACTCGATGTAGTAGGCAGAGGTCATCGTCGTCGTAATCGTCACTTTCTCGTATGCTCGTGTTCATGGATGACAATCAGTCATCGACGCCATCATCAGCAGCAGCATGCTGCGATGGGAAGCAACGCATCAGCAGAAGGATCAGCAGCGGCTGCATCAAAAAACTGTCATAAGTATCAAAGGCCAGTGGCTGTAACCGCTAACACGCCCCGAGTTTTCGCAGTGCCTTAAAACAGTCGAGACAAAATTTCTGCTAAATCTGCACTCGTGGCAGCCCCAGAGCCTCCACACCCCAATTGGAGCTAATTTCGCAGCCCTAGCTGGGCTCAGCCAATTTGACTTCCCCGTAACCCCCATCCCGAAACCTTTTGGGCCTAAACCTAACCCTTCATGTGGAGCCAAGGGTGCGGCCCTTCTTCCTGGTGAAGCTCTCTCTTCGGTCCTCCGTCTCCCCAGACCTGATATGAAGGCTGCAGACAACGGACGGAGCTAACGATGGCGTCAGGATCTCAATAGGGGTTCTTAGCGAAGTTCGCGGCACAACAGCGGATCCCTGCATGAACAAAAGGCCGCCTGGAACAACCCTTCCAAGGACGGCTCTACTTAGAGGGGATACGCCGCAAAGCGAAATCCGTAACCCCTGAACCACCAAACCTGAACGAACCCAGACTTCAAGCCCTCGAGTTGAGAATCCCTGAACCCTCAATCCAATAACTTGAGACGGGCAGACTCGACGGCCCCGGCCCTGCGGCGGATGAGTTAAGTAGCCGGGTCCACGGTAGCTTTGCTGGTTTTGGGGGTGCCGCTTAGGCTTTAGAACTTCGGGTTTAAAGCATAGGGTTCTCGGGCTTAGCATGTGAAGCTTTGTGTTGGGGTTCTGGGTTTTCGGGTTTAGGATTCCTGGGAAGGATTAAACCTGCTTCTTGGCAGGAAACATGGGCGGGCTTGCATCACCTGCAAAAAACACGTGTGAATTTCTTCCTCCATGATCATCCTGCTGAACCCCAGTCTTTATTCAAAAGCTGGGAAGCTGTGAGACGCTGCCAACTCCGACGCAACCCTACTAAACTCAAAACACTAAACCCTAAGCCTTCAAGCCTCAAGCCCGAAACCCTAAACCCTGAATCCTGCCCGCTGCATCCCACACGTTGAGCCAGGAGCCACAGCAACCCAAAAGGGGACCCAGAAGAAGGGATGTAGGGTTCAGGCGTCAAGCCTTCATTTCCAGAGTTTGGGTTCTAGGGTTTAGGGGTTTGGGGTTCTAGGGTTTGGGGGCTTGGGGTTCAGGATTTCGAAGTTTGGGGGGGGTTCAGGGACCAAAAGAGGGGCCTCCTTGCCAGATCCTTCAGGGCGAGGCTGAGGTTCTCCTCGATGGACTCCTGCATTCGCCTTGAGAGCTCTGGGGGGCTTTAGGAGTTAGAGCCTTTCGGGTTTGGAGTTAGGGTTTAGGGGTTTAGGGTTTCGGGTTTAGGGCTTAGGGTTTGGGGTTTGGGGTTTAGGCTTTAGGGGTTTAGGGGTTTGGAGCTTTAAGCTGCAGGGGCTGGAGTTCAGGGTGAAGGGCCTTAGAGTTGAGGGGTAGGATGTCGGATTTTTGTTGAGGTCGGATTTCGGGCCCAGGGTCAGGGGTGCATTCTGCAGGTGTTAGTGCCTGGGGGTTGCAGTAGAAGCCAGAAAGTTGGAATATCATTATCGTACCCCCTTTAAGGTAAATTATAGGGGATCCTACCATTAATCCATATTCCAACTTTCTGGAGTTCCCTTTGTGTGGAAGCTTTCAGGGGTTGTCCAAGTCAAGACCACTTAACCCCGCGTTCCCTGTCCTTTTTCCTTAAGTCTCAGGTTTCCCACTCCTGACACCCAAACTTCTCAAACCCTTAACCACACCAGGAACCGACACCTCAACCCTATGTCGACACAATGCCTGGAAACCTCTGAGTCCCAACAATAAGTAAGAGAACGCTGGTCAAAAGTCCCGACCCTACACCCAAAACCACATTCCCACATCCACAACGCCAACGAGCCGACATCCCAAACCTGACAAAACCCTCAATCCCTAAACCCTGAACCCCTAAATCCAAACCCTAACCCCAAATAAATCCTCAATAAACCCCAAAAGCCCCCTGGACAACAGACGAGTAAACCCCACAGAACCGAGGCGGGCACTTGGAGTCCTGCATCCAGAGATGCTGCAGGATCCGCCCGCAGTTCCAGACCTGCCGGGCGGGGGGGGTTGGGGGGTTCTTAGGGTTTGGGGTTTAGGGTTTAGCGGTTCCCGTTTCCGGGATAACCGGGTTTAGGGCTTTAGAGGGCCCAGATCGCCGGCAAGAGCGCCGGAACACTGTAGTGCCCCAGCGTCCGAGTGACGCGTTTGGTGCAAAGCACCACAGGTTTGAGCCATTGCAGGGCGTGCGCGGCACCTGCACTCTCCCTCCTGGCACCGACGCCTTCGACGCAAGCGATCGAAGGCTCGAACCTCCTTGCGATCCGGCTTGAGACCGGGACGTGCTGCACTGCACTTGCTGGCAGTGCACCACGCCACAGACCCGTCCCAACGACGCCTACTCCAAGGAGCAGCCATGGGAGGCAAACGAGGAGGCAAGTGGCCACAGCAGCCATCCTGGCAACTCTGGCGTGGAGCCAAGTCGCCACGGGAGGGAGCATGGAGACAGGACTATCAAGACTATCAGGACTATTCAACGTGGAAGTCGTGGCCCGAGGACAAAGCCTACTTCCCGCGATACGACGAGAGACGGCCGCCGGCTACGGGACGAGGAGATCCCGAGCCAGGGCAGGCCTCACAGGCCGGAGGATTCGTGCAGGATTTCCAGAACTGCCTGAATCATGCGAGAAAGGCGGAGCAGCGCGTGAAGAGCCTGACGCGCACTCGCGAACAGAAAGTTGCCCTTTGGGCAGACTACATGGAGCAGCTTCGCAAGAACTGGTTGAAGGAATGCCAAAGACACGAACAAAATCTCCAGCGCCTCGACGACGACATACAGGAGGCTTACCAGCAGCAGGAAGAAGCTCGGAGCAAACTGTGCTGGGTGGCAGCTCGCTACGACGGCAAGCAAGGCAGCGAAGAGGCCACGGACAGTGGCCCCGATCCCTGGATCGAGATGTGCCGGCAGTGGAAGAAAGAGGCCCAACAGGACGATGGACCAGAGGCGATCCTGCAGCGTGCCTTGCAAACTCGAGGCCAGCCGAAGCGAGAGGTCACGGCGACGTCTCAGGCTTCCCGTGCACCGCCGGGACTCAATGGTGGGGATCCTTTTACTTGGCCGGGTGGCCTGAAACCACCCAAAACCGAGGCTCCCGATGCAGGTCGACGAGAGGCAGAAGCCTTTTCTGGAAGGATGCCGTCTCCAAGCCCAGAGCCGACAGCGGTCCCGGGTGCCTACAGTGCGCCGCAGGAGCCCGTGGCGACCAACCCTTATCATGCCTCGCCGAGTACCCGGCGCACAGCTATGTCTCCCCCAACCGGCCGTCCACCGAAATCCAGCTCGAGGCCGCGGCAGCCTGTCAAGGCACATACCAAGCCCGAGATCAACACAGGCAGCCGCACTTTCCAGGATCGCATGGACGAGAAACGCCAACAAGCTCTGGATCGGGAGATCTTCGGAGCTCCTCCGGCCGAGCCCGGGGCCGTGGAAGGCGCGGATGCCGATGCACATGCAGGTTCGGCAGCCAGGCCCCCCGGGGAGGAATATCAGGACCACATCCCGACCATCCGCATCGACGACGAATCCGAGATGGATTGAGGCGTCCTTCGCTTTGTGGTCTGAATGGCCTCGACATCTGTACACCCACCGGTCTGCTTGGAGTTGGAAGGGCCGTGGTGGGGCCTTTCCTCTTTGAGCTAGTGCCTTTGGGTTGTACCGTGCCGAGTAGCTACTCAGGTCACGGACCGATGGACTTGCCGGGCAAGTCTGTGAGAGGCCTCTGTATTTTTGAACTAGGGTTTTCCCTGCTTCGCGGATGTGTACAGGCCCCTGCCTTTCCTCCTGCTGTTGCCTTGATTTTGGGTTCGGGCGATCAGCGGCACTGGGCTTGTGCTGTCTGGTCGGTTCGAAGCCCGACGTCTTCCTCGCGAGTGGCTAGCTGTCGCTGGGTTCGCGACAGTTTTGCCACTCCTCCGCCTCTGACGATAGGTGCCGTGAGCCACCCAGCATCAGCTTCCAATTTTGCTTGCGCGGCCACCCACATAACCAGGGATCAATGTCAGCCGACGTTCTGGAGCCAATGCGCCTGTTTTGGCTGCTGCTCTAGTTCTCCGGCGGTTTTGCAGGTTGAGCATACAGAGTGCCAAAGAGAAGCATTGGTGGCTCAGGGGCTTCCACTCTTCGCTCACCTGCCCACTCACATCACGTGGGCTCTTGCATTGCTGGGTCTACTCCTCTGGAACATGCGGCGCGCTTGGAGCCGGATCCCCAGCAGCCCTGAGCACCAGGGCCTTGTCGGTTGCATTACTGCCACTCTTCACACCTTCGAGCAGTGGCTCCACATTGCCTTAGCTCCGTGGAAGACAGGCACAGAGGGCACTGCCTGTGATAGTCCACAAGGACGACACGACTCTCTGCACGTCCTCCAGGTGCTTTTCTTTGTTGGGTACGGTTGCTTTGCAGTTTGTTTCCACTTAAGTTGGGGTTGGTGTGAAGTAGAAACAGCGGCAGCCTCCCTTCTACGCACTACCAGTCTGGTAGTGGTCTCTGCTCTGCTGACGCACTCCGCTGGGGTCTGCCGTGGGTCGGCCAGAGCCAGAGGAGTGCAACGAGCATTCGCTATTCCGTCCCGTGCTGTGTGCCTAAGCATTGGACGGGTAGCCCAGTCTAGCACGGCCGTCTTGCAGTGGAACTGTGTGCCTCGCAGGCCTGTCCGGGGCTCTAAGGGTAAGCACCCCGTGAACCGGGGGTGCTCTCTTTTCTGCAGATTCCTGCTACGCATGTGTGCTCTTTTGGCTTCCTTTGGCAGCCTCAATCTTTGTGCCTGCTCCGTGGTGTGGTACGGTTGCCCGGCCTTTGCTATGGAACTGGACCTAGCGACTGCTGAGGCCGGCGTTGGGCTGCCGAGTTACAATGCTCTGCCAACATCTGCGGTCGCCCCTCTTGGCGGCCCTTCCATGCCAGTGGCTGCTGTCCCTTCCACCCACCATGATGTTGGCACTGATGCCAGTGCGGAGCCGCATTCCCTGGTCCTTTTCAGTACAGGCATGACACAAACGGACCTGACCTTTTCGGCAGACTGGCTGGGCTTTCAGCTCTTCTCTCCGTACTACCAGCCGATTTGTGGTGCGGTACGGGCTGCTCCGACCCGTGACCTCCAACAGGTCAAGGAGAGCATTCAACAGGCTGCCCCTCTTGACCCATATGGTTTGGCGGATCGCCTTGTTGCTTTGCAACCTCAGCGGTTCCGGGGTTATGCGGGCTTCCTCAGATATCCTTCTGCTTGGGATGCAGTTGACAACGGGCAGATCGCTGTTGTTATTGACCTCTCACATGTTGGTGGTCATTACTTTGCAGCCTGTCTCCCGGCCGTTCTTTCTGATGAGGAGTTCTTCCTCTATGTTGCGCCGCATTGCACTGAGGACACCGATGAGCTTCAGATCTTTCTAGGGTTTAGCACCCAACCTGCCGCCCCTAGGACTGACCTGACTCTTTCACCTGGTGTAGTTCTGACAGTGCTTAGACGAGGTGTCCGTCCTTTGCCCTGGCATGACATTCTAGACCTCTTCCGGGACGATGCTGTTTGGGGACGCACGGAGCATTTGCCCCAGTGTACCCTCACCCCAGGTGTGTGCGTCATGACCGCCCAACACAGGTTTTTCCTGCACGAAAGGCACCACTACCGCAACAGTCTTGAGACTGCCATTGCCGAACGACTGCACTGCTCCGAATCAGACATCACCGTTTGTCAGCATGATGGCCTTTTCAGGTTCGATCTGCATGGAGATCCGTGTCATTCCTGTGCAGTTGTCCTCGACCTTCCCCGGCCAGACGATGACCTCCTCCAAGGACGACGGGACGTCTGTACACTTTTAGATTTTCGGCCACTCGGACACCGACCTCGGCATTGGCACTCGCACTTCCCTGCTTTGCACATCCCCAGCATTTTAGCACACTTCGGGTTGCGGTTGCCCGATGGTCTCCGGTTTGTAGTTCATGGGGGCTGTAGGGAAGACGATGATGTCTATGTCCGTTCCAGGGATGTCTTGGTTTTCGAGGCGCAGCCGATTGCTGCTTCGCTACCCACTGGGGTACCGCGACCTCCAGCCGACAGCGGTTCGGATTCGGATGATAGTTCAGGATCAGACGCGGACTCAGGTCAACCCAGTGTCCCCTCACCTACTGCAGCCGCGCCTTCTAACCGCAAGCGCAAGGAGCGTCGGGACCCAGATGCTAGGCGACCTCCACCCTCCAATCGCAAGAGTGTCAGTGCCACTCCACAACCCACGGCACCGCATGACTTTGATGGCCGCTGGAAGGCACCCGCCACCTCATTTGCCAATCTAGGTCTAGATGCAGAGCCTTGGGATGTTTGCCTCTTCGCTGTGCACTCATTTTTGACGCCCCGGCAGGGGGCTCCCTTGCACTGTGCCAAGCTTTTCATGGGTCAGAGCGGGCCTCCCCAGCAGCCGGGTTTGCAAGCCTGGCCTCAACCGCGCATGGCCCATGGTACGGGCGTCTTCCACAGTGGGAGTTCTCCTAGTGACGCGGCAGACACGCGGCCGGACCGCCCTAGACCTCCAGATCACAGAGACCGGCCACATCAGCGTGGACCTCCTGACGTACTGCAAGGTGTTGAGGCTTCCGGCCCAGCCCTGCCTCGTATGCAACATGTCTTCATGGTTCTTGTCCCGGACATGGCTCCAGAGCTTGTTGCTGTGCCTCTTGCCACCCCTGTCACGGTGCAAGAAGTCATCCCCTTGATTGTGGCGGACAGGAGCCCGCAATACCAGGCAGACTTTCCAGATTTAGTCCCGGTATACCCGCAACTTGACCCTGCTTATGGTGTTTTTGTTGCACGGCCCTCCTGGGCACCATCGGTCCGTGTGGTTTGTGTGGACACAAGGACCATTGATGACCGTGCTTTCGCTATGCCTTTCCCGGAGCAACTCAACCGCGAGTCCCTTTTGCGCCTGATCCGGCTCAGGGACGTGCCTGGTCTTCAAATCTTTGTTGCAGGTGCCCCCTTTGGTCGGGGCCAGGCCTTTTTTCGGCACGGGGATACGGTCCTAGTCCGATGGGGCGGCAGACACGACCCCCCTATGCATAGTCTAGCCAATATGTTGAGTAGCTCAGAAGGCTGGCATCCTGAAGCTGAGGTCTCGCTTGGCCCTCTAGATGTGCATGTACTGGTCCTGACAGACGGTGTCCACCACCTCCAGACTGTCGACAGCTACCAACGAGCCACTTTTAAGCAGGACCTCTCCTTGGCTCTGCAGTACTCCGTGCACCGCACCAGCCTCAAGCCCGCATTCCCGCGGGTTACTGATTGCAGCTACCGGGGTTTTTACTGCCATTCTGTTGTTGTGGCCACGGAAGCTATCTGTCGTCTACCGGTGCCCCCTGCCCGACTTCGCCAGGAACAGCTTGCTATCTTGCTGGACAAGCGGCCTGTCCTTAGGGGTTTCACATGGTTCCTCTGTGAGGGGGAGCATTTTGACCTTCAGGACCTCCAACACACCTTGCAGCAAGAGGCTCCACCTGGGTATGTCGTCGATGTCAGGGGAGGCCACAGGTTTTTACACAGAGGGAGGCCCCGTGTCATTGCGCGCCAAGGTTTGGTCCTCCAGGTCCGCTTTGTACTGCCTGCCGTCCCTCCTGGTGAGGATGAGGATGATGCCGACTCCTCCGCTGACCCCGCCGATGAGGACTCTGAAGACCATGGGCCACACCCTGATGTGGAGGACTCCTCTTCCACGCCGCGCGCGCCGCGCAGTCGTTCTCCTCCCCCCGATGCTCCCAGGGGACCACCTCCTCCTCAACCAGTCAATCGAGGCGGTTTCCGCCACAGCTGTGCTACCATTGTGGTAGGCAAGTGGTTTTCCGGTGTCTGTCATGATGCTCTTGCAGAGAGCAACCGGATTATCACCTCTGCCCCCCTGGGTTTGGCGCTGCCTTGTTGCGTACCAGCTTTGATTTTCCTTCTAGTGCTTGGTGGCCTGCTAGCCCAGTGGACGAGTTGGCTATGGCACCACAGTGCAAGCTTGGATGTGCTGCATATGCCACGGTTTGGACTGCCCGTGCGCACTTCTGTATTTCTGCTGCTTCTCTTCCTTCATGCTCGTCCAGTCGGAGGCATGATCGATCCCACAGACCTGGCACAGTCAGCCGCGATGTCAGTGGCCACCCCTCCCGAGGGTAAGCTATCCAGGGCCATCTCGGGTGCCCACCTGGCTTCAGGTCTTGTTCGACCCCTTCCCACACCGTGCAGGACACCTCTTGCAAGCTGGCCCTTGCCGGCGATGTCCCACCCCGTGGAGTCGCAAGCTGACATTGACATAGAGGGCTTGCAAACACTACTCGAGGAAAGTATCCGCAGGCCGGGCTTTTCCGGTTTTCTTGACTCGGTTGTTATCCTTGAGGCTGCCTGGGACCATCTGTTGGATGCCGGGCCGCCTCTCCTGGCGGATCCCACCCCTCCCCCGTCGCCGATGGCCTGCCCACTTACTGCCGAGGTTCGTGCACCAGGTCCGCCACAGCTCAACCGTGCAGTCGGCTGCCCTCTGGCCCTACAGGATTTCCTCCCACCCACTGCTTTCCAGCTAGAGGCTCAGGATTTACAGGAGCTACTGCGGCGGCTGCGATTTCCCAAAGACTTGGAGGCCCTGCATGCGGATTGGCTCGACAGCGACTTGACACCTTTGTGGCAGGATCTCTCTGGCGACAGGCTTTCCAAGGCATTCGCAGATGGCATAAAACCCCAGACCCAGGACAGCCTTACAAGCTTGAGATTTACACTGACGGGTCAGCCCAATGGGACCATACTCAACAGGGCCTCTCGCCGGCTGCTTGGGCCTTTTCTGTCTGGCTCTACACCGAGCAGGGCCCTTTCCTTTTAGGTGTTGCAGCACACTCTCTGGTGCCTGAAGGGACTCCCTTTTGGGTTGGGGAACACAGTGACACCCCTCTTGTCTCCGAGCTTGCCGCTCTGTGTTGGGCTCAAGCCTGGGCTCTGGAGTACGGCATCCACTACCAGCTTCCCATGCTTTTCTGTTATGATGCCACCAGCGCCGGGGCTGGAACGTTCGGAGCTTCCAGGCAGGCCAAGGTACCTGTTCCGTCGACTACCCAGGCACCAGAGGATGAAGGAGCAGCTTCCACGATTAGTGAGTTCGCATGTCTCTTACGTCAATGTTTGGTCCGAATGGCTCACGTTGAACACCACCATGTGCATGGGCACTCTGGTTGCCTTCCCAATGAGTTAGTGGATCAGTTGTCCAAGCAAGCCCGAAGGACCCACGAGGACCCGTATGATCGGAATTTGCCCGTTTGGCCATCACGGCTCGCCTCTCATCGGCTGAGACACTGGGCTTGGCTTGCGGCTGCGCCTGATCCGCATCTTCCTGTCCTCGCGGCCCTACAAGCAGAGGCTTCTCGCCTACAATCTACCCCCTGCAGAGTCTCTCCTCCTGACTTTGGCCTAAGTCAGGTGCACCGGCCCAGGGCCGAAGTGGCTTTCTCCCTTGCGTTTGCCTCGTACAATGTGCTCACGCTTTTCACTCCGGATGCTCCCAAGGGCCGTGTCAAGCGTCATGCTCAACGTGGCATGCTCGTTGCAGGCAAGCGCGACCTTCTGAAGAAACAGTTCTTGGCCCAGAACCTCTGGGCTATTGGCTTGCAGGAAACCCGTTTTACTGCGGATGAGGTGATGCAGGACCAAGATTTTCTCATGCTGTGCACAGCTGCGGACAGTCAAGGCAGCTACGGTTGCGCGCTATGGCTTAACCTTGGTCTTCCTCTCACCCAGGGCCAGCCTTCCTCCAAAGTCCGCCGAGATCAGGTTGTTGTTACCAGTTTCTCCCCGCGGCACCTTCTTGCGCAAGTCGATGCTGACCGGCTCCGCCTTACCATCTTGGTAGCACATGCCCCGCGAGGCAAGGCTTCCGACGTTGCGGAGGCGGAAGCCTTCTGGCAAGCACGCCAGACAGAGGTTGCGCGCCGCCCAGAAGGGTCAGAGTTCATCCTGCTTACGGACTCTAACTCGCATCTTGGGTCAGTACATACTGACGCTGTTGGGCCCCATGATAGCGAGACCGAAAATCCGGCTGGAGCTGTTTTCCATTCTTTCCTCTTGGCTACTCACAGCTTCCTGCCCTCACCACCAAGGTTCCTCCTGGACCTGGATTGCTCCAGGAGCCGATGCGGCCAGGCATCGACTGGATTTCGTGGCCCTGCCACAAGCCTGGAGTGGTTTTGCCGTGCAATCGGTCGTCCTGGACGACCTGGAAGCGTTACAGGCCCGAGACGACCACAGACCAGTTGTCGTCCGAACGCAATTTTGCCGCCTGGCACCCCCTGCGTCCTACACTGTTAGTCAGCGAAGAGCGTGCCGTCCTAGCAAGGAGTTGGCTCCAGCTGATAGGTCCACTTTCGTCGCCCAGCTTGGTAGCAGCACCCCTATTAGCTGGGAGACAGATGTGGACCAGCATTACCGGCAGCTTGTCCCCACCCTCATTGCTGCGGGCCAGCCGCTGTGTCAACCTACCACCCGCCAGCCTCGGCAGCCTTACCTCCAAGAGCGCACGCTCCAGGTCGTCCAACAGCGAGCTTCTCTCCGTACCTACTTGAAAGCGGAAGAAGGTGAACTTCGCCGTAGGCGTCTACTTCTAGGTTTCGCTGCCTTTGTCCACCATTCGCGGGGTACGGTTTTCACGGATAGGACTCGAGCTGCTGCGGATCGATGGTTCCTTGACATGGATGCTAGTATTGCTCGAGCTTTGGATTGCTTTACTTGGCTCACCAGTTCCGTCAGATCCCTGGTCAAGCAAGACCGGGTGGCCTACCTTCAGGGTCTTGCCAGCCGCATTACCCTGGCCGACGTTCAGAGGCCCAAGGACCTCTATGCAGCTGTTCGCCGGGCTTTTCCGGGCGCCAGAGCTGCACGACGAGCCAACTTCCAGGCACTTCCAGCTGTCCTTCTTGCTGACGGCACTGCAGCGCTTGATCCAGCCACCAGGGCACTCCGGTGGGCAGAATACTTCGGCGAGCAAGAGGCCGGGGAAGCCATCGAATTGGCGGCCTATCCACAGCGCTTTTCTTCAGCCCAGCCCGACCCTAGCCTCGGGGGACCGCATTTCGAGATCACCGCCTTGCCGACCCTGCAGTCTGTTGAACAGCAGATTCTGGCGCTTCCAGCACGAAAAGCCGTTGGCCCGGACGGCATCGCCGCTGAACTCCTTCATGTGTCGGTGGTACATTCAGCGGCTGCACTCTACCCGGTCTACTTGAAGACCGCTCTTGGGCTTCGTGAGCCGGTTGCGTGGCGCGGTGGCAATTTGATTTGCCTCGCCAAGAGAGCGAGTTCCCTCATGTCATGCTCAGCCTTCCGTTCAATCCTTCTTGAGAGTGTACCGGGAAAGCTATGGCACCGCATTCTGCGTTCTCAGCTTACAGCCCCGTTTGCAGGGGTGTGCCTGGACCTCCAAGCAGGGCAGTTACCTGGGATAGGCACAGACAGTGTTGCGCTGGCGGTTCGGAGCTACCAACAACTTACCAAGCGCCGTGGACGCCGGTGCGGCCTGGTGTTTTATGACGTCAGAGCGGCGTTCTACATGCTTTTGAGGCAGACCTTGGTTCCCACAACGGAACAGGATGCCACTCTCCTGGGTTTGCTCGACCGCCTTGGTGTGCCAAGTGCTGCTGTACCGGAGTTGGTGTCCAAGCTACAGGCTGCCTCGTACATCGCAGAGGCCGGTGTTTCGGCTCACACCACTGCCCTTATCAGCGATCTGCTCCGGGGGACATGGTTCAGAATGGACGGGGCGGCTGCTCTGATGCTTACACATCGGGGCAGCCGCCCCGGTGACCCGCTTGCCGATATCCTTTTTGCCTTCAGCTTCTCCGCTTACCTGCGGGCCGCAGAGCAAGCCTTGGCATCGAAAGGACTGAGCCCTCCTGTCCCTTGTGCCAGGGACACGCCCTTTTGGCAGGACTGGGAGCCGCCACAGCACATCCAGTTTGGTGCTTGGGCTGATGACTTTGTCAATCTTCGAGATGCCCCCACCGGTCCCTGCCTGTGTGCTGATATTCGGGCCTCGACAGGGCTCATCACTGCCCATGCTTCTGCCGTTGGGATGACCCTCACTTTTGCAGTTGATAAAACCGCGGCCCTGATCTCCTCTGATTGCGGGAGAGGGGAGGACCTTGGGCTTCGCAGTGATGACAAGGGTCAGCTCGGCCTGGACATACACGATCCAGTTATGCAGGCCTGGCATTTCCTTCCCGTGGTAGATTCCTACAAGCACCTTGGGGGCATTGTCACAGCCAACGGGACCGCCGGCACCGATGCTCAAGGAGCCCTTCGCCCTTTGTACCGACGCCTCTTTTCTGCACCGGATATCCCCCAGAAGGTCCGGAAGCTCCTGTTACGGGCACTGGTTATCTCCCGTTTTGTTTTCACTGCCGCCTCACAGATCTTTGGCGCTGAGATCTACAAACGGCAGTGGTGTCGAATGTACGTGGTGCTCTGGCGAGGGCTCCTCCGCTGGAGCTCAGCAGAAGCCACCCCGCACAGCTACGAGGTGCTCAGGTTTGCTGCCGCCACCAACCCATTGCTGGCCCTTGCACATATGCGGGCGGTCTTCCTCCGAAGGATCACCCGGCATGGACCAGCTACGCTCATTCACCTTCTCAAAGCACACTGGGCCGTGGACCCAGTCAGGTCCTGGCTCGGGCACCTGCGCGACGACCTACGTGCAGTTGCTGTGTATGTTGCTCCTGTCCAGGCTCTGTTGAGTACTCCTTGCCCAGTTACTGCCATCCTGGAGTCCGTTGTGACAGATGAGCATTGGTGGCCACGGCAGATCAAGTTAGCATCGAGTCGTTTTGCGGATAGGCTGGAAGTGTGGGCCGGCCAGCGAGGCTGCACCATACCTTCCGGCATTGCCCCGGCTCCAGAGCCGACAGAAGAAGACAGCCCATTCGCCTGCCAATGGTGTCCAGCACGTTTCCGCCTCAGGAAGCACCTAGCGGCGCATGCAGCCAAAAGCCATGGTATTCTTTGTCCTGCCAGGCACTTTACTCCGACCAGCACTTGCCAGGCGTGTCTGCGGATGTATCACAGTGTTGAGCGGGCTTGTTACCATACCAAGCGCTCTCGCGAGTGCCTCCTCCGCCTCGCACACCTCATGCCTCCCATGACCTTGGCTCAGATCCGGCTTGCAGATGCTGAAGAGGTGCAGAGGCGAAAAAAGCTCAAGAAAGGTCAATGGCAGGCTTTTGAAGCCACCGCTCCGGCACAGCCCACTTTTGGGCCACGCCGTCCGACCAGAGCTGAGATGCTCCTTGGACTTGATGAGGAGGACGTCACGCTCGATCTTCTTGCGCGGACCTTCCGCCCCAAGCCCTCGGTACTCGCCTGGCTTAATGAGTACTTCGACGAGGCCTCTCGGGAGGGCCCTCGCACCTCGACGGCGGGGTACTGGCTTCAACCGCCTTCTGGGGCACCGTCCGCTTCTGTCTCAACCGTTTCACCCTTTTGTGAGTAGCAATTTTGGGACGCGCTTGTATAGGCTCGACAGTCCGCACAGGAACAGGAACAGGAGTTTAGGGCTTTAGGGTTTCGGGGTTAGGGTTTCGGGGTTTGGGGTTTAGGGTTTACAGCTCAGGGGCCATCAGGGCGGCTCAGAACTTCAGGATGTTGGTGGTAGGATCTCCTGCTGCGCCTTTTTTTGTGCATGCACATAAACAGTAGCAGCACAATGTTCAGGATCTAGCACTTGAAGGCTTCTGGATTTCAGGTTTGCGGGTGCGCTTTGGCAACAGCTCAGAAGAGGGCTTTGCAGTTCCACACCTCATCCCAGAATATATAGAGTGAGGTCCTTGTGGCAAGGTGCTGAACCCCGGGAAGCATGTTGACACATGAAGTGGAAAGCCTTCGTGTGTGCATCGATCATGGAAGGGTTTCAAGCTCAGAATGTTGGGGGTTTCTTAACCATGGAATCTTTGAATCTTTGACCGCAGGAGATGCAGGTTTCATGATGACGACCTGGGAAGGAGAGCCTTTGTCTTGTGACTTGGGATTTTGGGTTGGATTTTTGTACTCACGGCAGGGTGGAGTCTGTAGAAGGGGTGAATTTTGAGAGAGTTACGGCATCCCTTGCCCTCCGCCTCCAGTGTGGATTCAGCTTCGCTTCCAAACGAACTTAGAGCCCCGAGTGGTCCTCGCAATGAGCCCGAAACCTCAAACCTCTGTATCCCAAGGGCCCGGCAATCCAGAAAAAGACCGGGAAGGAAAAGCTGATGACGAAGCCGGACCAGGAGGAGTTGAAGTTCGTCATCACCTCGAGCTGTCAGGCTTCAGGCCCTCACGAAGCAGATCTCGGATCCCATCCCGTCGAAGCGAGAATGGTACGCAAAAAGAGTAGCAGTAACACTCGTAGCAGTCATTGTCACTTTGATAATCATCCTCGACATCGCCATCATCGTTATCACCGGCATGACGATGACCATCCATCATCGCCATCATCAGTATCACGCTCATCACGGTCGCGATCACGACCATGAATCACAGCCGCCACCACCACCACCGCCGCCACCACCGATAAAGCCCTAGCTCTGAGACTCCTGGCTCCGCCAAAGGTGAGGCCGCAAACGATGATGAAGCTAACAACGCTGGTCGCAAGGATCACCTGAGTGGGTTTAGGGTGTAGGGTGTAGGGTTGCATCGGGGCTGCTGTAAGGAAACCTGCTCTCGAGCTGCTGCTGTCGGAGGCAGGGCCCACTGCTCGGTGCTTCGGGCGCTCTTCATCACGGCCAAACTTGCCAAAGGTTGACATCGGCATGCCGGATTCCAGGACTTGAACTTGACAAAGCAAAAAACCTCGAGTAAATCCGGACAGCTGCAGCATACTCCGTCTGGGCACTCCGGCCCACGAGAACCAGGAGTACTGCCCGCAGGACCAAACCTGCCATGATAGTGGTTCCCGGGACCTCAAGTCTCGTTGGGTGGCCGCAGATACTCGGCAGCATCTGTAGAGCAACAGCAACAGCTGTCGTCACAGTCATGGTGGTGTTGGTGGTGCTGGTGCTGGTGTACTGTGGACTTGGATAGACTGTCGAATTAAGGATGAGAAGGGCTTTGAGCTTCAAGCTTAAGGCCAGCCCGCGGGCAAAGCAGTTTCAATCATCATGGACCCCAACTGATGTAAACCGGCCGACTGCGCGAGGACACCAAAAGCTTTCAGCGTCATCTGAATCTGAGAGTGCGCGATCGCCAGGTGCATCAGCCTTGGCAACCATAGCAGGACCATGATGCAAGCCAGTTGCATGGCTTAGCGCAAGAGAAGCCTTCGAGTGATAAGACTTCTCCACCAGATGCCTTCTTCTGCATGAGACGCTGAGTTCTTCGGACAAAGGGGTGGTGAAACAAAAAAGGTCCTCGGCCCCTGCCTTCGAGGGGAGGAGGGCGCAAGCCATCCAGGACAGGTGTAGGACTATTAAAACGGTGTTCCTTTCGGTTCTACTGCCAACCTAAAATCGCATCGTCGATTATTTGATGTTGGCACAAATGCAGTTGCATGCAGCTAATTACGGGTCTCCCTCTTGAGCCAGCAGGGAACGAGCCTCTCCCTCGCCGGAGTTCGGCTGACCATGCAGCCTGGCGTGGCTGAAGCGCCCAAGACGGACGTGCTCTCGAAGGAGCACTGCATGCAACAGGAGACCGACGGCAGACAGCGAGCACAGGGCAATGTTGTGCGGCGTGACAATCTCGTCCGCGAAGTCGCGGCTGAAGTGGGCCTGGTACATCACGGCCAACGACACTACCAGGAACGCTGCCAGGCGCAGCTGGGCTAGCTGCCGAAGCAACGACGGAGAGAGGAAGGTCGTGACGTTCAGAACCAAGCTGACAGGGATGTAGATGCAGAAGCTCACGAGGCACCTGGCCAAGCCGGCTCCGCAACCGAGCCCGCTCCAGCCAGCTTTGTGGAGCAGAGCTGTTTCTTGGCGGCACAACTGCTTTCCCGCCCACACAATAGGTCTACCGATTTCCCCACCGAGATCATAGCTTCCTGCTGTCCAACTCATATGGTCACCTGCATCCTCTAAGCTCGCGGTGAAGCTGCCTGTGTTCGTCCTCACAATCGCAGACATGCCGTCGGCCTTCAACTCCAATGCAAAGTCTTGCCCAGCCATGAACATGTGTCCGCTTGCAATGCAGACTCTCTCACCCTTGTCCATGTTGTCCGTAGTGACGATCCAGTTGCCTTCGAGGCTCTTGAAGGCGCGGAGGTGAAGGATCAAGGCGGACAGAGCTATGGCACCGGCGAGGCAAAGGAGGCCCCAGGGCCTAGTAGCCGAGGCAAAGAGAACGACGACCAAGGCTGCAAGCACCTCTGAGATGTGGAAGGCGAGGATCTTGAAAGAGGACGTAGCCCGAAGATGGGCTAACTCCTCGCACTCGTGGATGGCCTTCCTGTCCAGGTCATGTGCCAACAGCGACAGGCAGGCGATGGAAAGGCCGACGCTGGCCCACTTCAGACCAGCCGAGGCTGGGCTGAGCTCGGGCACATCTGCCAAGTTGCCCGCCACCGCCAAGGCATCAGCCGTCACCAGCAGGCTGAGAGCGGACTCCAGGCCCTCGACCATCTTCTGCCTGAGGAGCGTCTCTGTCTTCACGCCTTTGATATAACTTTCCACTCCTTCCACCACCTGGCCAGAAGTGCCGAATGTGAAAAAATTCAGTATGGCACGTCCTGGGCGTGCTTGCTGCAAAATAGCAGATGCAACACCATTGAAGACCAGGCCGCAAAGAAGGCAAGCCATCCAAAGGAAATAGTGTCGCTTTACGAATTCTGCGAAATTCAAGACATCAAGGGTCACGTCTGCGAGAGGGAGCATGGTATCCTTCAGCAGACCCAGCGTCGTGACTCTGCGGCTTGCGGCTGCCTCCAGCAGTGGCTGGCAATGCTCACGCGGAACCTCGCTCAGCTCCGCCTTCGAGGAAACGAGCTTTGAGGGGAAATGGGCGAGAGCCGCCGCTGCCGAGCCGAAGAGCTCCTCGTGCCGTATGCCCGCCAGGAGCAGGGCTTCTATTGCCTCCGCCTCTGCAAGGAGGTGCCGTGCAGTCGGCAGCTCGGCCAGATGCAGGAGGAATGCCACGGCAGGCGAGCACGTGGCTCTGTCGCTTCGATCTTGAAGGAGCAGCCTGCAGACTGCGTTGATGGCATCAGGGTCCTGGAGCTTCTGGCGCACATCCTCGGAGATTCCAGTGCCCAAGCTGCCCAAAGCTGTGCAGCAGCAGCAAGCCAAAGTTACCCTCCAGTCATTCGCAAAAGCACGCTGCAGGGCAGCCCCAAGGCCGGCCACAGCACCGGCTCGGATGAGTTCCTCCTTCACCTCAGGTGGCCCGCCGGCCAGCCCGCCGAGGAAGTTGCACCAATCCTCTTGAATATTTTCGGAATCCTGCAGCACCTCCAGGCAGGAGAGCACTCTGGGCACGGCCCCGGAAGCTGCCAGCGCCCGCTTGGCCTCTGGGCCACCGAAACAATAGCAACATAACAGCCTAGCAATAGGCTGGTTACAAGAATCGGCCGCTTCGAGCGGATCTGGAGCCTCGACAACCTTCTGCAGGCGGGCCAAAAGTGAAGCCACTATGGCAGCATCCTCTCCCCGAAGCAGAGCTTCGCTGGCGATGTGGCTGTTGCGCTGCTCTGCAGCAATGCCATACAACAGATAAAGGACCCCCACGGCCGCGTCAAAGAGATCATGGTCATGTGAGTGGTCTCGAATGGTCACTCGCAAGTGCGCGATGAGCCCGTGCTCCATCAGATTAACTGCCGGCTGCTCCGCCTCCGCCAAAGACTCGTCCAACTTCTCGTTGATGTGGTCGCTCGCAGCTCGGCAAGCTTCGAGCTGCAAGGCCCCATCTCCAGGGTGGGCTTGCATGGCGGAGACAATGGCGGCCGCTGCCAGGTGTGGGTCTGCCGAGTCCCCGCCCCTCCGTATCTCTTTCAGGCCTCTCAGCTGCAGTGCAGCGTCTGCCGGCTTCGCCGCCATCTTTCTCAGCAGGTCGTCCACAGTCTCCTCCGCCTCAGAGCCCTCCTCCATTGTCGAGCCCGTCTCTTTGGACGAGATCTCCTCCCTCTCGGCCTCGCATCCGGACGCATCCTGTTTGGCCCCGCGGCTCACGTCCTCCACAGGCCGCAATGCAGGTGTCACGGCAGCTGCAGAGCGGCAGCACAGCATTCCGTCCGGCAGGACGGCTCTGAGTGCTAGGATCTTAACTTACCTTTGGTTAGTAGGGAATGAAGGAATGGGTACTATTATACTATATATTACTATCATTCCTTCATTCCCTACTAACCAAAGGTAAGTTAAAGGTCTCTTTAAGCTTGAGAGGCTCGAGAGGGAAGATCTTGCCTGCGTGTGAGGCCGCACTTCAAAGTCGGCCATGATCTGCATGGTGAAAGCCTTTCGACACATCTGCACAAGGACGCTCCGAGCACGTGCATGATTATTTGTGCCTGAAACCTTCGCCCCCTTGAAACCTCAAACCTCGGGACTGAAACCTGTCGCAAGCTCTGGGGAAGCGACCACTGCGTCAGGGATGGCGTGACAAACATCACGCAGGAGACGACTACCTGCGAGCGCTCGCAGAACTTCGGGCTCAAGCCGTCATGCGATTGCATAGGGTGCTGCTTCAAGGGCCTCACAGGACAAGCAGCTCCTGGGATAGATGTGACCGTAGTGTTCTGATGTGTTCTGCTCAGCACTTACCTCCGAAGGGGCTTCCTGGCTCAACCTCCCAAGGAATCAGGCTGATGGGAAAGCTCTTCGCTGCTCGGTGCAGCAAGAACAAAAATTGGCTGCTGCCGATCGCCGGTTTCGAGTGCATGGTTGTTGCCTTGCGCGCCTCTGCTGCGGTGATGTCGAGGCGACGACGACCATGATGACACAATCATGAATAAGGTCCGCAGATAAACTGCTTCCTTAGCAGAGCGTCCCATCACAACTATGATGAGCTGCGGCGCACCTGCTTTTGTCAAACGGAAGAAGATCCTGGACCGTTGCAAAACATCTTCTAGCTCGAGAAGCAAGCATATACCTGAAGTCCAAATCGTCCAACGTGACACCGAAGGCTTCCAGAACAGCCCGACTTGAACCAGCGCTTCAGGGACAGCCTCTAGCCAACTTAGTCCTCGATTGCGGCAGCCTGCTTGTCAAAGAAAGGGTCGCCGGCATTCGCCCCTGGGGTGCTACAGTTCACCGGCCTGGGACCACTGGGTGGGCAAGAGCTCGTAGGTTGTATAGGTTTTTCAACGTGGGGGCTCGGGCACGGAATAAGACAATCAAGATCCACCTTAGGATGCTCGAGCGAGGAGGACCTGAACCCTTGGACGAAGTGAGTACACGGCAAAGTTGGACAGCAAAGCCCAAACGTACCGTTGTCAAGCTGGAAGCCTAAACCTGGTCCATGCGAGTTACTGACTTACTGATCGCTTTCTGAGGTCCCCACAGATGATTCCGGCTGATGAAGGTCTGTATCCGCAGCTCTGATGCAAAGCCTCGGAGTCCGGCGCGACCCATGGGTCGAGGGGCCTTTTGCGGACGAATCTGAACCGGAGGTATGTAGCTGAGTGAATCTAGCCTGAGGTCCTTCCTCAGTGGTCCGGTAAGGGATACTGGAAGAACCTCATCTATTGCAGGTACGTGAAAGAGTCACTGCCATCTGTGAATTGCGGACAATCCCCTTGTTGCTTCGAGCCTTTCCTGTAGTAAAGGGCATCTTCATTTCTCAATCAAGTCTAGGCCCTGAAGACCCCCAGAAACGCAAACTCTCCATCCCCAAGCAAGACCTTTGCCTGCAACGCCAAGTAGCACCAGGCTTTCTAGCAGGCGTCCCGGGTGAAATCTGGGGTACAAGGTCCTCGAACTCGAGGGCAAGGCCCGCGAAAGCCGAGGTCCGGGCAATCCATGCCGCGGCTGCACTCCTCCAGGGGAAAGTCCTTGCCGACCTCGGTGTAACAAAGGACCTGAAGACGAATGCTACTGGTTTAAACCCTTAGGGTGAAGAGAGCAAGCATGAGGACCATGAGTTCGGGCTCCAGAAGCCTTCGCCCCTTCCCCAACTGCACCGTCTGTCGTTGTTAAACTCTCCAGCCTTACACCTCTCGGTCTTAACTAACCCAAACACCCCAAACATCTTGGGCCGTGGCGTGCGTCGTCGTCTGAAACACGCAAGACTCCCACAGGTAGGAGAGGACTACAATCACCGTGAGCCGTGTGATCCTGTCATGCGACGACAAGACACAAGGAAGAAAGCTGACACAGTGGAGATTGCGCAAAGCTTCGACATCAGGAAACATAGGATGTAGTTCAGGGCTGACTGTTTCGGGTTATGGCTTTGAGCACGGGTTTTACTCTGTCGCCACTCACAAGCGAAGCTGGAGAAACCTGTCAGACCGTCAAGCACAAGCAAAAGCGTGTCGGAGGGGCATCATGGCTTCCCACCTAAGAGCTTTGCCATCGGACCTCAGGTTCAGGGTTCGGAACTTTTTTCGTGGAGCTACGCATGCTGTTGCTATGGTTCTGGTAACTGAACCGGAAGCCCTAAACTATCAAAAAAGCCTGGTAGGCAGGCAACCAGGCTCCAGAAGACTGCAACCCTGACCCCCGGCCCCTGAGTGCGGCACACTTCGTTGACTTCGATGTCGAAGAAGTATAGCCGCTTCTCACGGATTGCAAACCTCAAACAACTCGAAGTTGAGAGTCTTGCCAGCGTGGGTCTCTTCTCAAAAACATACTGGTGACCCTTCTTCCTGGTAGTCTGACCCTTAACAGCGTATGGCCATGACTCTCATCACCGTCATCATCGCCAGCTACCAGGGGCATGTTCCTTTCAGTAACGCATCTCTCAAAGGGTCTCGTCGTTGTGGCTGTCTCTAAGGCACGAGCACTCCGGGAAAGAGCACCGGAAGCAGCGCAAAACGCTTCATGACAATCTCCACTAACGCCCAGCTCACGCCTCGAATCTTGGTCTTGCGGCTTAGGGTTTAGGGTTTATGAGTTTGGGGGGTTCTTCTCTGGGCTTTGATGCCGATAAGGGTATGGCGCGGACTTCCTGTTGCTAGGCTCCGGAACCCTGCACGGAAGTCCGGCCAGCCAGGAAAGCTCGCTCCCCCCCCCGAACGAGTGCACATGCTGGCATGCATGTCGAAGGAAGCCGAATCCTAGAGGGACAAGAAGCTTCCTCAGGTCGGCATGCTGCAATAGAGGGGCTTTGATCATCAGAACAGGGCCTTGGGGTGGTATACTATACTGTAACCATGATAAGGAACACCGTAATCGTCTTTTCCCCTATAAAACCCCAGAACACCCCGACATGAAGCAGCCAACCAAGTTTGACGAAGCCGACGACGATTTCTGGGCAACGGCTTCCAAAAGTACTCCGGGCCGCTGGCTCATCAGAATTGCAAGGACGAACATGATGGCCTGGTACTCCAGGGAGCTAAACCTGGCGGATCGAGCATAAACCAAAGGTCACATAGGAAATAGACGGAGACTGGCAGGATGGAAAAGACAGTGCGCATGCAGAAGATCATCGGTGAGACGGGTCTTCATTCTAGGAAGCTGAGCCAGCTACGGCTGAAGCCATGACGACCGTTTCCACATTGCCATCGGAGAAGACAAATTGTTGGAATTCAACGGCTCTCTCATCCCAGGACGAGCCGAAGGGCCCCTCAAACCACTAGCAGGGAATGGGGGAATGGGTCAGAGAGCTGTAGTGACTACTATAAGGGACTATCACAGGGATCCATCCCCCATGCCCTCCTGAGAACCAGAAAATGCAGAGCTTCGGCCTCGTGAGACCATTGGAGTCTCCAACAATGATGGCCATGGCCTGCGATGTCGGCTTCAGCGCTTGCAGGCTTGGAGTTTAGGGCTTGGGGTTTAGGGCTTAGGGTGCTTTTAAGTTGAACTGCACTGCACCCCTTTCCGAAGATCCGAAGCGCTGGTATCTTGCCCTCAACTAGTGAAACACTCAGACTTTCCACGCCCTCAAGTTGGGTTTAGGGCTTAGCGTTTGAGACTTAGGGATCGGGTTTAAGGTTTAGTGTCTTACAGAGCTCACACAAACCCTGAAACGCCGAAGCCCTGCACCCGAAGCCCCAGGATGATCGTATGGGGTTCTGCCGAGAACGAACTCTGTCATTCACTGAGCCCCCGCAACTGCCTCAACCTCAAATCCAAGAGTCCTACAAAGACCCCCACCACTGAGCCGCAAGGTCTCAACCCCGAACTCTCAAACGAAAGGCCGCGCATGGAGGACCCCCGAAACCTGGATCCCCCAACCCCGAAAAAAGAAAAAGCCAGAGCTTCTCGCCTGACTTGGCCACGCGCCCTCGTCTCTACGAACTACACTTTTCGAAACACAGCTGCGGAACCACGGGTTTTGGGCGGGGGCCTCGAAGGCTTGAACGGTTTAGGGGGTAAGCCTTAAACCCTAAACCCTGAACCCTGAACCTAACCCTAAACCCTAAAGAGTCAGGAGTGATCAGGTTGAGGTGGAGGGGAGGCAGGGCCAGGGAGAGTCAGGACGTGCAGTGCTGTGAGGACCTTTTGTATTGGTAACGATTACAAAGCTTGGTTTAAGCGCTCTGAGTGTTGTGACTATATACCGCCACGGCAAGCATAAGCATAATGTGGGGCCTTAATGATTAGAATAGGGTTTGGGGCAGATTGTACTATAGCTATGATAAGGAACCCGCAAAACCCCATTGTCTATAATCATTAAGGGCCCTACACCATAGACCCCTAATTGCCATAGATCCCTTATGGAACCCTGTAAAGAAGCCTCAAAGGAACCCTAGCCTACTCCAATTATTGAGCCCCCTTCACAAAGGGTGCCCGCAGTCGCAACCAAGAGCTCCCGGCCTAACTTGGCCACGCACCCCGCGTCTCAAGGAACGACACTCTTCAAAGCAACCCTAAACCCTAAGCCCTAAACCCTAAGCCCTAAGCCCTAAACCCTAAGCCCTAAACCCTAAGCCCTAAGCCCTAAACAGCTGCGAAACGCGAGTTGTCGGGTTGAGGGCTTGACGGGTTGAAGGATCACAGACTAGAGTTTGACTTTGAGGCTGATACCCAACTGCCGGGTCCGTTTTGGGTCAGGCAGGTACCGTTTCCGAAAGTTAGGGGCAGGAGGATGGCTTCGGGGATGGTCTTGGGGATTGGCCTGGAGGCAACGATGACTGAAACCTAGATCTTGCCCGCACGACTGGAAGAGCCTGAAACACCAAATCTACAAATTGGTCGAGGTCATCACCTCCCCCGAACAAAGCATCCAAAAAACGCAACTGGCAACAACGAAGACGTCAATCAAGACAAGAGGAACCCACGCTTCGGGACCGGCCCCCTCCCCCCCATTGACAGCTTTCTCCAACTCATCCATCTCCGACCCATCGAAGCGCGAGGCCGAGTTCAGCCCACAGCGCCAGGCGTTTGCAAAGCCAATGCGGGAACATCAGCGCGTTAGCGAAGGATGCGATGAATGCCGACGGAGCCGTTTATGCATGAAGCCTAACCACACTTCGAGCTGAAGGAGAGGACCATAATCCAAGCCAATCCGCACTTCTGTAACCCCCGAAAACCTCAAACCTAATGAAACCCTAAAATATCCATACTGCTCCCTGAGGCTATGCCAGTCGAGATTCACGGCATCCATGGAATCACTGCATGAGGGGCACTTTGGCTCCCTGGATGGACCCGCAGGGCACTGGACAGGCCAACTTTGGACACCTTAAAGCTGAAACCTCAACATCTAAACCTAAGGAGTTTTAGGGGACCCAAAAACCTTGAACTTAAAACCCAAACTGCGAAACTCCTGCTCCCTAATCTTATTTAAACCCTAAACCCTATGTCCTGAACCCTAACTTGGACTAACTTGAACCCTTAAGCCCCTAAAGAACCCTAAAGAACCCGAAAGGTGCGCTACCGACCGGCAGTCGGCGGCAGGAACATCGGCCTCAGAGCCGAAAATGCAGACATTCCGACACTCCGATCTTGCAGAATGAAAGCAGAAAGAGAAAAGAGAGAGAGAGAGAGAGAGAGTGAGAGAGAGAGAGAGAGAGAGAAAGTGAGAGAGAGAGAGAGAGAGAGAGAGAGAGAGAGAGAGAGAGAGAGAGAGAGACACGGACGAGTGGAGTGAGGGATCGATGAAGAAGAAAGAGGAGAGCAGCCTACAGCCTACCAGCAGGCCCTCTTAGATTTCACAGCCAAGCTGCGGCGACGTTGCGGATGGTGGGCCGCACTGCAAAGCGATTGAGCCCTGGGGCGGCAGGGCAAGGGAGCCTTGTGGCGGCCGTTGGAGCGCGATGGAGCCTGGGGGAGGCAGGTTCTGTGGAGCCATGGATCCGGGTGGCATGGAGCCTTGGGGCGGCAGCTGCCTTGGCATGGAGCCTTGCGGAGGCATTCCGCAGAAGGATCCTTGAGGTGGAAGTTGTGGGGCTAGGGACCCTTGCGGCGGCAAGCGCTGCGGCGCAATGGATCCCTGCGGTGGAAGGTTCGGCCCGATGGAGCCCTGGGGGGGCCCCAAGCCTTGTGGGCTCTGTGGTGCTATGGAGCCCTGAGGTGGCAGCCGCTGTGGTGAGATGGATCCTGGTGCAGCCATGCTTTGTGGTGCTATGGAGCCTTGGGGTGGCAGCCTTTGGGGTGCAATGGAGCCGTAGGGTGGGGGCTGCAAGCCTTGCGGCGAAAAGGAGCCTTGCGGGGGCAAGCTCTGGGGCGCGATAGAGCCGTAGGGGGGCGGCTGCAAACCGTTCGGTGAAAAGGATCCTTGAGGGGGAAGGCTCTGAGGTGCAATGGAACCGTATGGCGGCGGCTGCAAGCCCTGTGGCGAAAGGGACCCTTGGGGGGGCAGGTTCGGGCCAAGGGAACCTTGGGGAGCAAAGCTCGGGAACTGCATGCTCTGCGGCGCCACGGATCCTGTTGGCGGCAACATGGCACCTGCACGCGAGGAGCTGCAGGCATCCCGACACTGCCCTCCACGACAGAGGATGAAGAAAGCATGCCACCACTCAAGGGACTTGCATGACAAAGACAAAAGTCCCAACAAAAGGTCATCCACGCCATCGCTTTCCCAGATGAACTCCCGCCGCGGCCTGATCCGTAGGATCCTTGCGGCCAGCGTGCCTGCTCGGCACGATACTGTGAAAGGATCTGGCTGCACGTGCTTCAGAAAGGAGCTTAGTGTTCGGACGGGCTTAGGATGAAAGGCTTCGGGGCTTGATGATTCACTGGCTGGCCACGTCCGCCCTCTGCCTGCAGGGCTTCCGAGACATCACAAAATCCGCACTCAAACTCCCTCAACGTCAAGAGCTAGGCCAACTCTAGGAGGGTTTAGGGCCCAATACAGGAGCCTTCATGATAAGAATACGGTTGGGGCGGTTTGGGGGTTATCTTATACCATAATTATGATAAGGAACCCCCCAAATAGTATAGGTAATTGTTTAGTACTCTTAGTATTCTGTGAAACGTAAGCTGCCCAAGCCTGTTCCCTCTAGGAAAGCTGCTGGAACTTCCAAGCCCCAAACGTCCGAAATCGAAACCGCCGAACCTTTGAAACTCCAAACCAAACCGAAACCTAAACCCTAAAACCCCTAAACTCCTAAACCCTAAACCTAAACCTCAAGCTAACCCATAAACCCCTAAACTAAACCCATACAAAACCCCAGGCCCTCAACCCGAAACCTCCGAAACACTACTAAAACCTGGAAGCCAAAGGCCACGGCCTGCGAGGAAGTCCCAAAGCCCAAAGGGGTGCCACCTTCCAACGGCAGGAACGCTTTATACAGGGGCCTTAATGATTAGAATATGGTTGTGGAGTATATTATGCTATAACTGGGAATGAAATTGGAATTTATCTAGAGGCCTCTTGATTTATGGGCATGCGGGGGCGAGGGATCGGGGTGTGGGGTTTAGGATAAAAGGGAGTTTGACTGAATGGGGTTCCGATTTGATCTCAAAGTCCGACAAAAGGCCATGCACTTGTACCGCATCGCTTAGGGCGCGTTTCTTCTCATTGACTGCCCGCACCGGACATGCGCGGTAAGGCACTGTAGAAGCTGTTATCCGGTCTCATGTGCACTGAGACAAAAACCCATGCTTGCCAGTGCTTTTGACACCTTTGTCAGCTAGGCAACTTTCTGCTTCTTAACCTCGCGCTCAGCCTGCTCAGCACGCGCAACTTGGTCTTCGAGATAGGCACGTCCTCTGTTACAATCCTTCAGGTCAGTGCTGGAATCTGCTGCTTCAGTCATCCTCTGGATCACCAGCACAATGCGACGGCCACAAGCAATGAGCTCGGCTGCTTCGATCATGCTTGCGATGCTGCGCGTTTGTGAATCAATCACAAACAAGAGCACTGCTGCCTCTGCTTTCGCCGCGGCCTCCTTTTCAACCAAATCGGGCGTCCAGTCGTCGACCTGTGGGTTGTAAAACTTCACAGAGTTGGCCTCTAACAACGGGATCGCGATGTCGCGGCGCCAAGTCGTTGGGTTGCAGCTGCCCCCGAGAAAGACACTGCCACCGCCATTGTCCTTGATTAGCTCAATGACTTTACGGACCGCGTCTTCCACCTCAGCGAACATCGAAACGTTGGGCATGGCTGAGGCAGCTGCCTGTGCCGGGCAGTTCACGACTGGAGGTGAAACTTGGCTTTCAAGCAATAGTGCTTCAGAGAGTGTCAGAAATAATCCCACAGACGTACAACTCAATTATGTGCCGCCTCTCCCCCACAGAACCCACAAGGCCTGCTGCGCTGTCCAGCATGCCCTGCACCTGCAGGCAAGACTCGGAGGGTTACAGACCTTGGGCTGTGAGCTTCAAGCCTGTCTTCCA